TTTTCTTCTGTGTTTCAACCTTTTCTTGAGTCTTATAACAGTGGTCTCATACAATATTTGTCCTTTTGCGACTGTTATGTAAGTTTCTTGACTTCTTTATAAATCTATTTCCTAGTAACAGTATGTACTTTATAGGGTTGTGCCAGTTTTAAATGCATGTAAAGTGTTCAACACAGAGTCTGGAGTATGATAAGCAATTAATTGGTATTAGATATCATCACTGTCATCACCCTTATCCTTTGTCCTGTTGGATTCAAGCTTTAACATGATTTCTCTTATTAGTTAGTGTCTGTAAATTCTGTTTGCTTGGGACCTAACAACAGGTAAGTAATCAGTATCACCCTCTTTCACCTGACAGGTACTTGACTTCTGTTACCCTCTGTCTTCTCAAAATCTTTTTCTCCCAGTTTCCTTCATCGGTTATTTCTTCCATTCTATTTAAGAATTCTTAATCATTTTTAGTAAGTCAGAGCACTTTCTTGAGCTTTTATAAGGACTCCTAGCATATTCTGTTTAATTCATGAGTTCCAGACGGAGGAATTAGAAGAATAGCTGATGCTTATTTTGCATTTACTCTGTGCCAAGCATTGTTCTGAATGCTTCATCTGTGTTGACACATATAGCTCTCACAAAAGTCCTGTGAGGGAGGTACTGTTGTTAATTGTTTCCGTATTTCAGATGAGGAAAGTGAGGCACGGAAAGGTCAAGAAACTTGCCTAGGCCACACAGCAAATAAGCAGCAGAGCTGGATTTGAATGCAGGCAGTCTCTGTTCTATACCATTACACTAGTCCCAAAAATACTTTTCTGAACTCTTTGTCTCAAGGAGAACTATGGCTCTTCATGACCCTTGGAAACTTCTGCAGTCCGTCCATCTGCTTCTGTGAGCTGGTTTTGAAGCTGGTGGGTCAGGTCCCTCTGTTCATGACTAATCATGAGCACATTTTTAGTAATTAGCACTGATATGCTCACCTTCTTTTAGGCCAAGCTTCTCTTCCCTGTCACCAAATACTAACTTGATAGGTCGCCACTTTTATATGTTCTACTTTTTTTTTTTTTTAATTGTACTTCAGGTGAAGGCTTACAGAACAAATAGTTTCTCATGAAACAGTAGGACACATGTTGTTTTATGACATTGGTTAACAACCCCACAAC